TTGAAAAGACTGCAGAGAAGAGAGTGTAATGGGGACGTGGAACTGAAGCCGTATGTTCCACTAGGAACCCAAGGGACAAATAATAAAAGTAATAATATGATACACAGAATGTGGACGCTAACCCTCAAATAGTAATCTGTGTTTCGCGAAGTCTCAGTGTTGTTACAGAAACATTAGATGGTCTGGAAACTATATAGTTCTTTTCTGTATAAAAATGAATGGTAAAGCGTGAAGATGTTCCCTAATCTCAACCTTGATTTGTAACCATGGTGTAGTTGCATAGTTACTTGCCTTTAGCTAACATTAATTATTCATGATTCATCATCATCATCATTATCAACATAGGACCAGGCATTACTGCGTAACGGTCCGAGTTGCCACACCTCATATCAGCACATCAAGTAAAAAGGTAGTGAGGTGAAGGATGAAGATAAGTGAATGCAGTCAAAAGAAATATAAAGTATGAGAAGAAAGGAAAGAGGAGTGACAAAATAGTGAGATTCGGTATAGCGTTGTTAAGATGAGGATAATGTGTGTATACATCTGCGCCACTGACTTCGGTTCTGAGCCATATCACCTAGGGTCTCCAACCACTGGTTCCTCTTGTCCCGTGGACCCCAACCACCTAGTCTGCATCGTCCTACATGGCTTAAACCAACAGTCAGAGACTTCATACATTGGTGCCATGTTTTAGTCTGGCCACCTCGGGCCTTTTTCCAGCCTGAACCCACCTCAGCCAACATTGTGTGACGAGGCAATCGGTGACTAGGCATACGTAGTACGTGTCCCAACCATCTCAGTCGATGAAGGTTCACAACCTCGTCGACTGACTTACCTCTTCTCCCTAAAACTCTACACCTAACTTCTGCATTACTCACATGGTGACACCACGGAATACGTCCTATACTACGAAGGCAACGGTGGTCAAATACCTGTAACCTTCTCATGTCTTCCACTTTCAATGGCCATGTTTCACAGCCATACAGTAGAACAGAGCGGACTGCTGTGCAGTACACGCGACCCTTAATAGACAAACGAATATCACGGCGGCGCCATAGGTGGCGCAAATTGGCAAAAGCCAATCGAGCCTTTTGTATCCGTGCAGAAATCTCATCGGCAACTAACCCACCGGAGTTGATCCTACTTCCCAGGTAAGTGAAGTGGTCAACACACTCAACCACTTCACTCTCTATTGTTAACCGCGGTACCGCTGAAGACCAGTCCTGGAGCAAAAATTTGCATTTGGGTGGTGAAAATCGCATCCCAAACATTCTCAAATTCCCACTCAAAGTGTTCAGAAGACTCTGCATCTTGTCAGCGTCTTCACCTAACAGGACTATGTCATCTGCATATTCTAGATCTAAGGAAAATTCACCTGTGATCCGGTCAACGTCTTTGTAATTAGGTGACGAGAGGGAAACCTCCATAAGAATATCTATGATAAAATTAAATAAGAATGGGGATAGTGGGCATCCTTGACGGACACCACTTGATGAGTATAGCTCCCTGGACAACTCACCATAGGCTCTAACATGCCCACAAGTGTTCGAGTAGAGAGCTTTCAATAAGGTGATGTACTTACTAGGCACGCCTTTCAGTGACAGACACTGCCATAAGACTTCTCGATCAACGGAGTCAAATGCCGCCTTCAGGTCGAGAAATACAGCTATTGTCGGGCGTCTGTAAGCATGCCTATGTTCCAGGACCTGGCGCAGTGTGAATATTTGGTCGATACATCCACGGCCAGGTCTAAAGCCTGCCTGGTTTTCTCGGGCTTGCTGTTCCCGAGCTCCACTCAGGCGTCGGAGAATTATAGAACTTAGGATCTTAGACACTATGTTTGTCAGGCTGATTCCTCTGTGGTTATCACAAGAGGACTTCTCGCCTTTCTTGAAGACTGGGATGATCAGTGACTTAGACCAGTCGGAGGGGATCGTATTTGATTCCCATATACTGGCTAACACTTCCGTTAGCCTGACTAAGAGAACTCTACCACCATTCTTGTATACCTCAGCAGGTAGTCCGTCTGGTCCTGCTGCCCTTCCCGTTTCAGGCTACCTACCGCTTTCTCAACTTCTTCTAGTGTTGGGGGACCTGTCTCTATGTCCCATTCAGGGTCCGACTGGATAGCGGGCAGCGCAATGGTGGCTGGAGGCCAGTTAAACTGTTCCTCAAAGTGTTCTGCCCATCGTCCCAGTCGCCTTCCCTGCGAGTGAATCGCCGATCCGTCCTTCTCCGCTATAACCTCACTAACTGTTGTTGACCATTTCCCCCCAGTCTCCTTAATAAGTCTAAATAACTGTCTACTGTTACCGATCGCCGCTGCCTTTTCCATCTCTTTAGCCTTTGCTGCCCACCACTGTTCACGATCGTTGCGCAGACTTTTCGTCAGTTTATTTTTAAGTTGCGCTCGCTCTTCATTGTACTCAGAGCCTGCAGGGATGCATTCACGTGCATCCATTAGTTTGGAAGAAGCTGCTGATATCCACTGGCTCTTTTTAGCCATTATCTTGGAGTCGGCTACAGTCTCCAGTGCTGCTTTTACAGTAGACTGAAGATGGCACCAAGCTTCTTCTGGATGAGTGACAGTCTTTTGTTCCGATAACTGCCTAGCCAACTTCTCACTGAACACGGCTTTGGTGTTTTCGTTGTCCAGCAGAACTCGTAGTGGTTTTGTTGCCAAATTTTTTCTACGTCCATTGAGACGCAGGCATATACGTGCTCGGACCAACGCATGATCGCTGTCCAAACACGTACTCCAGAAGGAGCGGCAGTCTTCCACCGATCCTCTCCAGCGATGACTAATAGCAATGTGGTCTATCTGTGTCCATCGCTGAGTCGAGCTCGGTGGACGCCAGGTCAGACAGTGCCTTTCTTTATGTCTGAAATTTGTGCTGGCTAAAAATAGGCGGTTATCTGAGCATAGTTGTAATAGGCGATCACCGTTATCTGTACGTTCAGCTGGGATTCCGAAAGTGCCACCTAAGTGCCTTTCTGCCTCACTCAGTCTACCCACCTGTGCGTTGAGGTCACCTGCAACAACCACTACGTCCGAACGTTTGGCTTTCGAGAGGAGGTTAGACAGTTTATGGTAGAACTCGTCCTTCACTTCATCCGAACTACAGTCAGTGGGTGCGTAAGCAGAGATTACAAAGAGACAACGGCGAGTCTCACTATTCCTTTTAGTTCTCACTGTGCCGTTCAGCCTCATAGCGCAGAGGCGACTATCAACTGGGATCCAGTCTAGTAGTGAGTTTTCTGCCCTGGTGCTTAATGCTATACCTACACCTGCAAGACCACGAGAGCTAGCTATCGAATCTCCAGAAACTCGAAGGGTGAATTTTGCAGATTCACCAGATTGGTCAGGAGAGGTCAGGTGAATAACCACACTTGGGTCCTGTATGCGTGTCTCACAAACACAGCACACATCCATGCCTCGAGTTGCTAGAGTCTTTGCCAACGAAGCCTGTTGGCCAATTTGACGGAGGGTGCGGACATTGAAGGCTCCAATATGTAATTTGGAGCGTGGTTTAAGGAGACCAGGGACACTGTTCTGTGGACTCAGATCGTTGTCGAAGGCTGCAGAGGTAGGAGAAATTGAAGATGATGCAGCATCATTAATTAAGAGACGTGAAGGAAGATTAGAAGGTAATGATGGAGGAGGAGGATAGCAGTCAGAAGAAACTTGGGTGCTGACAGAGTTGTGAGGGCGGTTGACACTTCCCGGCTGCCCACACCGTGGAAGGCTATTTCTTCTTAAGGTACCTGAAAGAGATTTGTGTGACCGCAGAGCCCATCGGACATCTGCTTGAGGCCTGTCACACCCAGCCTTTTGAGTATGATTATTTTGAATTTTTGTATTTTTGGGGCCGGATGAGCGAAAGGAAACGACAAGTGAACCAACACCGCCGGCCCGGCAGACCGTGGGGCGTGGTGGAGTGTGTTATTTTTGGGGCCGACCTTTTCTAACCCCCCCTTCCACTGAGAAGGCAGCATCAGCTTGGCACTGCTGGTCATCCAAGGGAAACACCTTACTGCTGTCACACCCCATCCAGCTAGCAGCAGTACGACTTCGCCCTCAGACCCCCATCATAGTATAGCAATTTACACTATGACGGTAACTGCTTTTCGTCTAACCACTACCCAACAGACCTTTCTGGTATGGTAGGACCTCGAGGGAACAAGCGTTCCACCAGCATAGCTCGTTGGGTCATTGTGATATGCAAGCCCGACCACCACGTCAAGGTAGCAGCTATCGGTCGGGATTATTCATGATTAGAGTTTTCAAATTGGTTATTTAAACCCTAAGTCTGTTTATCGTACTTAACTGCTCTGAAGCGCAATCCATTAACTAACTGAATTCGCCTTGTGTTGGAAAGAATGCACTTTAATGTGTGATATTTATCAAAGTACTCAAGAGTTCAGTGGGAACTCAACTGTCTAGGCATGTACACGTTGTCCTACTGTCTCTGGAATTGTGTGCAACTGGCGTGGCACTGCAGAAGCCACTTTACAGATAGTAGTTGGTCTTAAATCTTTCTGTGTTCTATATTCAGCAGTATTGTTTTGGTATATTTTTTCTGAAGAGACACCTCGTTCTTACTAGCAGACTGTTAGCAACTAGTGTCGTATTATGGCTTCAATAGGTGGACGTGTTCACTCTTCGTGATATATACATTTGTAAATGATACGTCTTCCAAGCTGTTCTTTCAGAGGTGTCATCCTCAAAAACTGTACAGTAGTATTTAATTATAATATCATCCTTGCCACAACCAACTTCGAATTACTAGTCGACAAAATTGGCATCTTTGCTCTACATTTGCTCACATTATATATGATTGCGATTGTACAGCTTCTAAGGATGCTATCACCGAAAAACCTGGTTCGCTAAAATCTTACTTTTATGGAAACGTTTAGATTTTCAAGCAATTAAACTTATTTTGTTACAAAACTATGCTTTAAATATTCATATTCATACCCTCATGACTTTGAAATTTTAGTTGGTGTTAAGGGACAAGACAATGAAGTGAAAGTAGTTTTGACTGCACTGGAAGAAAAACTTTGTCAAATCTGGAGACTAGCAGATGAATATGAGCCACCGGTACCGATAATGGTCTCTCACACCAGGCGAAAACTTGCACGTTTATGTCATAAACCAAGTTTTGTGTCTATCGTAGGAATTATAAACGCTGATGGAGCATACGAAGTCGAAAGAAAGCTACTAGACATGAAAGCTGGAGTAAACTTAGGGATTTCAGAAAATCTGGAAATTGTACAGACCGGAGATAAATATAAATATTGCACAAGTGACTCAATCACTGCTATCGTTGTAAGTTTTTTCGTTGATCTTTTCCGGTAATTTGATATAACCTTTTCAGTGGTGAGTTTGAGCAGGAATATAAGGTTAGAACATGGCCACTGTGGTAGGATGTAACTTTCTATTAGAATTTCTGTTTGATCTAGCCTACAGGCATACGGTAACATCCCGACCAATGGCTGCTACCTTGAAGTGATGGTCAGGTTTGAATATCAAAATGATCTAGGGAGCTAAAGTTAAGGCAGGAAGTTGTATAATTACGTTGATTCGATTTTGAGAAGCACGTTGTGCTTGGAATATCATCTAGTAAGTAATACTTTATCGCTTTGTGCTAGGTCAAATCAACAAATGTAAAATGAAATTAAGAGTAGGCATATTTGCTTGATTTCCTACAGTCAGTGCATGGTTGGAATTCTGTGATTAAATATCACCCTCATGATGTCTTTAAACTCCTTTGTCATTTTTCTGATGTATTAATAAAAGAAACCAGTATAACAGCGTAAGGTCAATGATGAGAAGTTAGCTGGAAAAAAAATCCTATGATTTGTTGCTTTCTAAATGTTTCAATGGAAATTTTTACACTAATAAAACAGTTGTCAAGTATATGTGAAGGAAAATCCAAAACGTAGTACAGTCACGCAACTGTCCGGGTTGTTACACTTCATAAGAAAGTAAGGCGAAAGGTAGGAATAAAAGGAACCGGTTTATGCATTGAGGTTAATCCGGAGCGCTCATCTACTCGCGATCAAAACGTTACTCGCTTAGATAATTGTATTCAAATATATGGTGATTGTAGTAGATTATTTCCCAAAGTATTTTCTGTAAGTGGTCGCTACAGATTGGTGATGTAATGGTTCCATACGTGAATGTGCCCCTTTTTGTGTTATCAGGTGTGTCGGAATAAACTGTTACTGCAAAATATTGCTAACACAGATATAATCTTTAAAAAATAGTAAGAATCATAACGTTGGGCATGTGATTGTTGACTAACGCTTATTACAATGGTTAATCTAACTGCAAAACTCACATCCCATAAAAACATGCTGAGAAAATAAAGTATTATTTTAAAAAAAGTAACCAGCAAAGAAAGTGAATTAGACAGTAACAAACATTTTTTGAAGCTTTGAAAAAGGATCTACAACTATTTTGATGCAGTTCATTGCATGTCATACAAGACGAAATCTCTAGAATTATTTCTCCACTAATTAGAGGGTTGCTGTGTTCAGGAGATGAAAAATCATTTTCTGATTAAACACCTACCTCTTGATATTTATAGTAGATACAAAAAATGTCGACTTAATCCCTGTTCAAATATAACCAACTAGTGATTAGTGACACTTCTTAGGATTCATGTTTTCTGCAACAGGTCAGAACTCACTTTTTTCCAATTAAATTGCTTCTTGATGGGCAGGTGAATAAATTGCATATGCCACTAGTGTAGGTAGACGAAAAATGAATCCATATTGGTCTGATCGACGCAACTACTGAAGCAAAACTCCCGACGTACTTTATCTTCTGTGTTCAAAGCAGGTAGAGATGCAAGCTATTCTTCAACTATTCCAATAAATATTAGTGGTATAAAGCATACTTTATGTCACGAGATTTCTGTTACGGTTTGTCAGAGGGCTACAAATTTATCTTATCTTTTTTTCGTCGTAATCTTTGTGCATCACCGTCAAATCGGTAAAGCTTTTTGTGTATGACATGGACAACAGTCTAATTGCATTTCAGACATCTCAGCTGCCGCAGTCCTTCAAACAATGAAGATACGAAGCCGTATTTGTAGTCTAAGAGTAACGGAACGGCTAGTATGAAAATCTTAGAGTATATAGATTGTTTATATTATGTTCTCAGGTTAGCAATGGTCCATAGTTGGATACGCTGAGTGACATGGCGCAAAGGCAACCTTTATGAATCAGTTGTTGCCAATTTCTTTCTCTTCATTTATTACTATGATTACACTTTTGTTTCACATGGTTTCTTCTATACACAATATTGTAAAATGTGGTGGTATGCCTGGAATCATTACTTCATGCACTCGATCCCCTGGATACGTTTGGAAAAGTGTTTTCGGAATACAATCTGCACACCCTATTTGATGGATTTTTTAGCTGCAGACAACGTAGTATCAAAAAGGTTATCATAAAGAACAGATAAAGAAGTAGTGAAGGCAAAGCCTAAACTTCATTTTGCACCGAAAGATCTATGTAGTATGGCGATAATGTAACGGTAGAAAGGTTTGGAGTTAGGAGGAAAAGGAAGCGATTGGAAAATATCCGTGTTTTTTGTCAGCAAGTTATTACGCAGTTGTGTAATAGAAAGTTTAGAGATGAATTCCAATCAGTGACTGTTAAAAAATAGCGAAATAAAATAGAGATTACGCAACACGACCGGAAGAACTGCCAGGGAAGTGCGATTGTGATTTTTTCTCTACCTTGTCCATGTTCTACCGATGCATCGTGAGTTTTAGACCTTGCCTCAAATAGTTACAGTGTTTCACTTTAGGCTATCTGTAGCTGAGAAAGGAAACTGTGCACATTTCAGAATGATTACTGTTTGAAGATGCACAGTAGCTAAGCAGTCGTTTGTTTACTGAACAAAATGTACCTAAATTTTCTGCTGTTACATGGGGTAGTTTTCGCTCATCTAGTCTGGCAGACTTTCTACTACTTTTTGTTTCTTTCCAGGACAGTCTATTGTTTTCTGTGAAGGCGTTGAGAATCGAAGAATAGTAATTTGTGAATACTGCATGTTTAAATGTCTTCTTTGATAATATTTATCTCAGATTTTTTCTGTGTACACTACTTCATAATATCCACCGTATTTTGTTGATAAGTTGAACGTTGCTGAAGTTGACTTCTTTTTTTCAATCAAAACGGATGTATTTCACATGAATGTTCCTGCTACAATTTTATACCTTTCACTTCATAGTGCCAAATAAAAATACCTAGAAAGGTTTTAACGCTTTTTTTATAAAATACTCCACTGAAATGAGCAAAAGTGTGCTGTTAAATTAATAGGCATATCAAAATGGAATTATCTTATTTGTTCGCTATGGTAAAAGTCTCTCAAGTGTTGTCGTGTTATCGTAGCTGCTACTTTTTTTCGGTTGGCTGACCAATCTGCTTTGTTACTTCACTCCATTTTCGAAACCCCAGAACATAGAGAATGTAAACTGGAGAACAGTAAAAGGATAAAAAAGCTAAAAAATTATCTATCAATAATTTATTTCATTTTCGGGGACAAAGCTATCAATTTTATGGCTGTCAGTTCTTTGGGACACCAAGTTCTCATCTTGAGTCCTGCTATTGACAATTTGAACTTTTGTAAGCAGCATGCCTAGTGTGATGTCGCATCTGAAACTAAAAATTTCAGTGTCATTACTTTGTAGCGAGTATGAAAGAATCTCACTAGTCCGAATCTAAGATCATGGGGGGAATCTGCTTCTAAGATACGTAAACTTGACACATCTGTGATCATTCAATTTATTCGTTATCATGAGTTTGAACAATTCTGATTGGTAGAAGTCGGGTGGCTGTTTCGCATGTTCTTGGATTTATTTCTAGAGCAGAAAGAGTATTCCATAACTGAATTCTAATTACTAGTTCAATTAACAGTACCGTGACAACTCCTAGGAACGGACTCACGCGTCATACGTACAGGTGGGAGTGAGCTAAATGCATACAAAAACACGTTTTCAGAATTCCCGTCAAGAGAACTGATAGTGACTACCGCCTGTTGCGAGTTAACTACTAACTTGCCCCGGAGTTAGATATGCAGACACTAGTTGACCCAAAGACAGTTGATCCCATTGACTGACACAGAGGTCGTCTCACTAACAGTTAGCAGTAGAGAACTGATCTTCCTCTCGATGAGTATGACCTTACTACGACCGCTGATGTGCCAGAAAAATCTTTCTGAACTCAGCTGGATGATGGGAGCGTGTGCTTTAAGAGAATCATTGATTGCCAGTAACAGACGGACGGTTCGTGGTTTAAGGTCAATAGAACAGTTCTTAGCATTTTCTACTCAACCCCTTTTGTAATTATTCTCTGAATCTCTACTTTTATTCTTAGTGGGATTCTTGTGCACCCATTCATTCGTGGGAAAATAACCGATGTATAACAAAGATTTCAGCGAAGAAAACTTTTCTTTACGATTTCATTTTCAAAAGCTGTTCAGTTATATTTAGATATAAGTTAAATTAGACGATAACAAACTTGTTTGTGTATTTCACTTTACAATAAGTAAAATCGTGAAGTGCATTAATACGAGTGAGAATAATATTTCAATAATCCTTACACCAATTGAAAAGCAGACGTCAAGGAAGAAAGATAGGAGGTGAATGAGTGGAGAAATATGACGTTATTTCATTTAAAAATAGAGTGAAGATTATGTGAGACAATAAGTTCTTTTCGCCGAAATCTTCGTTGTTTTAATGGGGATTGTAAATTTAATTAAAAAGATTGCTGACATAGTAAGGCGTGCTGCAAAAGTCCATGCTTAGTTTTGACGCTGCTTTTATAGCAAAGTGGCGTTAGTTCAAGGCAGCCAGGACGAAAAATACTTTCGTCTTTTGCATCTTCAGCTCATCAAAATTTGGAGGATCGATTCTAGTGTGAAACAAAGGGTGACAATAGCTCCTGACTGTTTGTACTTTAAGACCTTTAGTTGGGAATTACTACTGACGCTGAATACAAAACAAGTATACTCAGCAAGATTTAATAAATCCATAAAATCTCGTTTGAATGGCTAAGTTGAATATTCTACATACTCGATCATACATACTATTGTGATACCGCAGAAGGTACATATGCTTCAAACTCATACAATAAATACTGCTTAGTAACGTAAAGTTGAGGGGTATTTTGAACACTATCAAGTAAATGTATAAGAGTTGGATATAGAGTTTCTGAGTTTTCAACAGAATGATGTGATTATACAGTTCTCCTTCTAGTGAGAGATACTGCCATAAGACCTCAATTGAAGTCGAATGCTGCCTTCACGTCGAAAAACAATCAATGGTGGTAAGTGTGCCTGTGTTGTAAAACCTGGCGGAGGGTGAAGATCTAGTCGATACAACCATGGTCAGGTCTGAAGCCTACCTAATTTGCTGTTCTCGAGTCCCACTCAGACATCTAGTAACTACAGGAAGTAAGACTGATTTCCATGTTTTTAGCACAAGAGCATTTCCCCTACGCTAGTTAACCAGACCAGTAATTCACGATCACTGTCCTTAAATACCTACGGAACTATTTAGTCCTGCCTTGCTGTCCTCCGTTCCAGGTTACCTACAGCTTTTTCAGCTCCTGCGAGCGTTGGGGGCTCCATCTCAATGCTTTATTCAGGATTCGACTAGATAGCAAGCGACGAAATAGTAGCTGCAGGCCAGTTGAACTGTCCCTCAGTGTTTTTCCAGTCGCCTCACCCGCAGGTGAGTCAGTTCCATCCTTCTCCGCTTTGGTTCCACTAACCGTTGACCTTCCCGACCCAGTTTCGTTGACAAGTCTTAAAAGCTGTCTACTGTTACCTATCGCTGCTGCCTTATCCTTCTCTTTAGTATTCCCTACCCGTAACTGTTCGCGGCCATCGCAGAGACTTCTCAACAGTCGACATTTCCGTTCCTCGTTGTGCTTGGAGTCTGCACGGATATGTTCATATGCATACATTAATTCAGAAGCTGTTGAAATGTACTGGCTATTTTTAAGCATACTAAGAGAGTTGGCTACGGTCTTCATCGCTGTTTTTACAACAAACTGGAAATGGTGCCAAGCTTCTGCATGAGTCCTGTTCCCATAACTGTCCAGCCACTTTTCCTCTGAAAGCACCCTTAGTGCCCCCGTTGTTGAACTGCAGTCGCAGTGGTTTTCCTAAGTTCACTGAGATGCAGGCACACGTCCCCCAACCAGCGGTAAGCCGCCATTTGAACACGTGCTCCAAGAGGAGCTGCCGTCTTCTACAGACCCTCTTCAGAGACGAATGATGGCAATACGGTCTATGTCCATCGCTGAATCGAGCTCGGGGGACGCTACGTCAGACAACGTTTCTTCGTCTGAAGTTCTTGTTGGTTGAAATAAACGGTTATCTAGGTATAGTTGTAGTACGCGACCACCATTATGTTCATTCGACTAGGATTCAGAAGCTGTCACCTAAATGTCTTTCTGTCTGCCCACTTGTGCAGTGAAATCACCTGCAACAACAACCACAACGGAACGTTTGGCTTTCAGTAGGACACTAAACAGTTTCCAGTAAATCTTATCTTACACATCGTCGCAACTGCTGTCAGTAGTAGGTGCGTAAGCAGAGATGCGATATTCACCACCCAAATGCAAATTTTTGCTCCAGGACTGGTCTTCAGCGGTACCGCGGTTAACAATAGAGAGTGAAGTGGTTGAGTGTGTTGGCCACTTCACTTACCTGGGAAGTAGGATCAACCCTGGTGGGTTAGTTGCCGATGTGATTTCTGCACGGATACAAAAGGCTCGGCTGGCTTTTGCCAATTTGCGCCACCTATGGCACCGCCGTGATATTCGTTTGTCTATTAAGGGTCGCGTGTACTGCACAGCAGTCCTATCTGTTCTACTGTATGGCTGTGAAACATGGCCATTGAAAGTGGAGGATACAAAAAGGCTTCAAGTGTTTGGCCACCGTTGCCTTCGTAGTATAGGACGTATCCCGTGGTGTCACCATGTGAGTAATGCAGAAATTAGGTGTAGAGTTTTGGGGAGAAGAGGTAAGTCAGTCGACGAGGTTGTGAACCTTCATCGACTGAGACGGTTGGGACACGTACTACGTATGCCTAGTCACCGATTGCCTCGTCACACAATGTTGGTCGAAGTAGGTCCAGGCTGGAAAAAGGCCCGAGGTGGCCAGACTAAAACATGGCAATAATGTATGAAGTCTCTGACTGTTGGTTTAAGCCATGTAGGACGATGCAGACTAGGTGGTTGGGGTCCACGGGACAAGAGGAACCAGTGGTTGGAGACTGACTCCAGGTGATGGCATGGCTCAGGACCGATGTCAGTGGCGCAGATGTATACACACATTGTCCTCATCTTAACAACGTTATACCGAATCTCACCATTTTGTCACTCCTCTTTCCTTTCTTTTCGTACTTTATATTTCTTTTGACTGCATTCACTTTTCTTCATCCTTTGCCTCACTACCTTTTTACTTGATGTGCTGATATGAGGTGTGGCAACTCGGACCGTTACGCAGTAATGCCTGGTCCTATGTTGATAATGATGATGATGCGTAAGCAGAGATTACAAAGAGATAACGGCGAGTTTCACTATTCATTTTAATCCTCACTGTGCCGTTCAGTCAAATAGCATATAAGCGATTGTCAACTTCGGTCCAGTCGAGATGTTAACTGTCTGGCTCAGTGCTATACCTACACCTGAAAGACCGCGAGAACTAGCGATAGAATCTGCAGAAACTCGAGGGGTGAAATTTGCGTATTCACTATACTGACAGCCTAAGATTACGTGAATGACACACTTAGGCTCTGTATGAGTGTCTTACAAACACAGTACACATCCATGGCCCGAATTGTTAGGGTTTTCGCTAATGAAGCTCGTTAGCCGATTTGGCGGGAAGTCCGGATATTGAAGGCTCCAATGAGTCATTTGGAGGGTTGTTCAGGGGACCATGGATACTGTTCTGTAAACGCGGACGGTTGTCGAGATCTGGTGGAAATCAAACAGCAAGTAGGAATACTGGGAGACCCATGGGTCGTCTGTTTGAGGCCGATAACAACCAGTTTTGGATTGTCGGTATCAGACTTCTAACGCCAAAAAGGGAAAATCTATGCCGCCGGCACAGGAAGTCTACTATTCATAGGGCCAACCTTTCCGTAATCCCCCTTCCAATAGGAAGGGCAGTATCATCCAAGAGAAACATCTTACTGTTGCCACACTGCGTCCAACTTCGCCCTCGGACTGCAATCTGCACTACAACGGTAACAGCTCTTCATCTTACCACTGCCCAACAGACCTTCCTGGCATGGTAGAACCTCGAGGGGACAAGGGTTCCACCGGCGTATCTCGTTGGGTCAGTGATATACAACCTTAACCAACACGTCAAGATGACATCTATTGATCGGGAGTGAAATAAGTGTAAGCATTATCGGTTGGGTTGTACCACTTATTTCAAAAGGCTTTTAATAGAAGACTTGTTTGGTAACATTTCTGAATAACTTTTCTCAGGAGCTTTTGACTGACCCGTCACCCGTTTCTCTATGCTCTACAGTACTAAAATAATAGCCCTTTGAGTCGAATCAGTAATTGTGTACCTCACTTTCTGTGAATGAAATTCGCTGTTTCATTTTTTGAATTATAATAGGTTGTGGGCAGGAAATCCAGTTGTATAAGCAGACCTCTCAGATTTCCAAAAAAGAGAATCACAAAACTGTGTTCTGTTGTACGGGGTTGGGAGGGCTAAGCCGCATGACTTATCGCGTGGTTGAACTGACCACATCAAACTAAAGCTGGAGATCTGAGTAAGTGAGACACTAAATATGAGTGATACATAAAATTCATCATTTTATTCGGAAAAAAAAACTGTACAACATGGGCACTAAGAATTATGCCACACAAAGTAATACAGTAACACTAAGAAAAGAACGCGACGAAAAGTGGGAAAAAGAACAAAAACAGGTTATTAAAAAAACAGTATACGACATACATACAAAGAAGTACCCACCACTTCCGTTTTACTTAAGCTAATGGAATAAACAAGAAATTTACAGCATGACCGCCGGTGGCTTCCATTTCCAGAAGTGCCTGCTATTGTCTCAAACCCACTGAACTGCATTCTCTCGAACCCCATTCACACAATCGTGAAGTTTTTGGCAATCCTAATCCAAAACAACTATCCTTCATGTCATGGTAACAACTCACACAATGGTCAACTCCCCATTTCTTCCAATCAGTTTCAGTGAGTGGTCTAGGAACTGTTGAAATGACGTTCATAGCACAAGTTTCAGGCATCGAAACCGACCTCACCTCAGAATTGTTTATACGGTGCTCCTGGCGGAGACGAAGTTGGTTGAACATTTTGGGTTGTCAGATATATTAAACTCGTAGGCCAGCTCTAGTGTACGACTATCCAATAAGGTTAATGTCGTGACGGTTTCAAAGTAAGCTCCTTTTTCCGATATACGGTTGGAAATCTAATAAAAATATCCAGGCACAAAAACTTCCCGGCAAATCCGAACGATCCATCATGAAGGGTGAGTGCAGTTGGGGATCCTGCCGATATTGTAGAAGCGCATCCCACTTCGATGATGCAAAGTACATACCATACTTACGGACAGATATCGCCTATTGATTGAGTGCGATTTGAATAGCTTATGTAATGTCACACAAAAAGACTATATCGCCTGCTTACTGACGTTTGAAGTCTCATGTGTGTAAAACACAACTGTAATCGAAAGTTTTTCCTCAGTAACTTAAGGTTGGTAACTAACCCACCAAGAATACTGGCCCTAATGGTTTTTCCATGTGGCACCCCTTTGGGAAAACATAGTATATTTCCTCGGAGTCAATCCTAACCAACATTTGTCGATAGTATTCTTATCTAGGAGGTCCAAAAATGTATGCAGTGTATATTGTCGAACTGCGTTACTCACTTGTGAAGGGTCTGAAACAAACGCGTAACTACTGTTCCTTATAAAACTGTTATTTGGCCTGGTAGAATTAAATGTACTAGGCTACGAGTTTCCAAGCAAGTGAGCTACATCTCCACCTCTTGAGGTGTATGATAAGTGTCCATGAATAAATAGCCGAGATAGATAATATTAATGTAGGACCTGGTACTAATGTTTAACGGTTTAAGTTGCAACACCACATCAAGCGAGAATGCACTAAGATCAAAGATCGAAATCAGGGAAGAAAGCAGTCAAGAAAGGTAGAAAGTAATGAAAAGAGAGCAAGAATAAATGAGATAATGTTGAAATTCAGTATGATGATTAAGATAAAGATAATGTGTGGATACATCTGCATCACTGACACCGATTTTGAGCCATGTCACCTAGAGTGTCCAATCATTGATTTCTGTTGTCATGCGAACCATAACTAGGAAGTTTTTATTTCTCTACACAGTTGAGACCAACAATCAAAGACTTCGGGGACTGGTATCATTTTAAGTAAATGAGATACAGAAAACAGGTTATCAAATTGTAGTCTTACAGCAAGAAAAAAAAACAATAGTAACAGTAAAAAATTTATTTGAACAATGCACTCAGTCCATACGCATTTTCAGGTCCGAAATGGTGACAGCATCTTTCTCTCTGGAAAGTGAAATGGAAGGCAGACGCAAGTGATTTAATATTGAGAATATTATCTATTTTTAATGAAAAATGATATTCCAGCTAAAATTTATTCTAAAGTTTGTTAGAAGAAATTTCTCCTGTGTTGATATATACTGGACTTCCACATGTCTTAGATGTGTGATTTCTGTTGTGTGACAAATAATATTTTGTTAGGACACCTGTATGTTTTCATCGGACTTAAGAGAACATTGGTAGCTACTGGCTGTCAATAATATATAAACTGGACAACATTCAATTTTTTCACACCCAATATTTCCGTACTTCCTGGATATTCCCCTAACTCCAATCCAAATACCTATTAAGAATAAAGCTAGGAAGTGGTAGGAAAATAAAAATTAGAATCAGACAGTTCCTCAACACTGCTAAACATTTTTATATTTAGAGTTGTGAACGTTCTGGTGCTTTAATGTAAGAATAAAACTTGGACCTTGTAATAGAATGTAATTCCGTTTTACTTGATTTACTAGATACATTAAAGTAGGATTTTAACAGACTTACATCATGTAAACTCGAGCACCCCAACCAGACAGGGCATCACGATTCAGAGCGTTTAAAATACACTGAGAAATACACTCGAATAATTCCTTCGAATTCTACAGTAAAAAAAAATTTTAGGAAGTAAACTGGATAAGAGTAACAGCACCTTTACACTACGAATAAGTTTAATGTAACTAAGTTCGCAGAAACAGGAGTAGGTAAATGACTGAAATATCGAACTAATTCTATGCCAGCCCAAATGTCAACGTTGCAGCTTCAATAACAACGAATTTAATCATAATATGGAGTGACATACAAGCATTTGTAATATATATATATATATATATATATATATATATATATATATATATATATATATATATATATATATAATATATATATATATAAGGCTTGGTAGATTTAGTGGAAGTGCTCAAGAGGAAAAACCGGATGATGTAGTGAGTATTATGATCATTGATAGCACTTAACAACAGTTGGAATTTAGAAACTGCCTAATTTAGTCACCTAAACGTATATGCTGAACAAAGAAGAACCACCGGTCAACCAGTTTAAAAGATATACGTAACTGTTGTGTAGCATAACCAAAATTTTAGATTGTAAGCAGGGTAGGTTTTAAAAGACCCTCTGCTACATATATATGACTGGTTTTTAACACAAGCTAACCCACAAATAAATGACTACATTGGGTTCAGCAATGTCCGGTCGACATTTCCGCGGGAGAAAACAAGGGGGTATATTGAAAATCACAATGAAAACTAGGTGCAAAATGCGCGACTCTCCCAAGTATCTTCATGCCAATTTTCCATATTTGCCCCAAGTTTTCTCCGCGAGACGCCTTGCTTGTTTTTCGATTTGCCTATTGTTCTGAAAATGTCCTCGAGTTTTACCCCGTGTAAATGATGACTGGGTGATGTGAAATAAGCATTTACTCACCATGTTTTCCTCCCACAGTGTTTCACACATTCCATACATTTGATCTGTGCACGTGCCGCTAACAACGAAATCATCGGCCTCAAGAATGCAACCGATTAAATCCATGGATGCGATGTACGGCTTATTAGTAGTAGGATCTATACCGGCAACAACTGGCTCAACAAAATACGGACCAAACCTATACTTATAAATTAAGTTTTCACAACTATACCTGCGTTCATAGAGTAAATTGGATAACATGGTTGTAATGATTTGGGGTTTAATGGTTCGATTTTCACGCAATTCGTACATGTTTTTACGGAACTGTAGACGCTGAAATCTATTGAACTTCAGATACAGTTACCTGGAGACTTACACTGTTTGATTATCTGTAGCCAAGCCTGGAAACCCCACATAAAGTCTTGGTCCGAGAGGATATATTTTGGTAAAATCGGTTGAAATAGTACTCAAATTAACACCAAAACGAAGATCACAGGCTATGGCTGCACAGTCTTTACCAGTCATCGCAATGACAGCAGATCCATTGTGGGTTAGGATACTCTATGTGAAAGTCATTACGGCAATAGGTAAGAACTACCATTGTTTCAACACTAAGCTAACACCTATCTACTACCCGCGTCTGTGAGCAGCCTAGAGAGTAGTGTGGTAAAACTAAATACCAATTTATAATTGAGCTTCTATTTCAATAAACTTCATTCCTATTTCACATTATTGTTAGAATTTCCAGTTCACAAAGCGGAGAATAACTTATAACACAGAATAAATCAGTTTAAAAAATAACGAAAATGGCGAACCAGCTAACCTCTTAATCTGAACGGTTCTATCTGATAGCGAATACTGCACATGAGGAACATCTCGAACACTTTAAAATATCACCTCAACGCTTTTGACGGTATGTGATAGATATCCACCTAAATAAATCTGTTTTCAGCGCAACAGATCACAGCAGATGGTATCGAACACCTAGGGAATGTCCTGGTGCGAACTTGACAGACGCAGAGGCCAGCCACTAATTATCCGCATTTGTTATATGCCCACGAACACAAGGCCGAAAAAGAACACGACAGCGTAGTCGAACGGAACAGCGTGTTTTCGAGGTCGTGCCAAGATACCGATGAGTTCCAACTAAGTAACTAGAGGGTCAAATATGCGCACGGCAACGTAACACGATAGCGTGCCAAATGGCGTAGATACTTGACCGCGTTCCTTCAGCTTAGCGAGTCCAGTTAAACTACAAAGGTCCGCACCAGTGCTGAATCTCATCGAATCCTAGGCCATTGGTTCTAGAGAGGGGTGTAAGGCTATGAAGCTTCTGAAGAAAATATCAGAGGACTCAGAAGTCTCTCCGAACTTGACTCACTAGAAACTGGCGTCTTTTGGGGGATGTTTATCTTGCATAGCCATTTTATTCCATCGCATGCATTACTTATAACTGTTAATAGACATATTGATGGGTAAGCAGGTGAATTTTACCTCTGACAACGTATCAACGGGGTTTCCATGATAGCACCTGCAGATGTTGCGCTGCTGTTGCGCACCAGCCTAGCAGCATCACTACTTCTGTGCACGGATGCATCTGAAGTAGCAGTGGGCGTACCAAGAAGACGAATTCATGATGCTATCCCTTAACATTCTTCTTTAAAAGCCTGTATCCTGCCCATATGCCGCTTGACAACTTTGGGGGGAGAACTGTTGGATGCCCACAATGCCGATCCGGGGTCGTGATTTCACTACTCTCACCGACCACAAAACAATCGGCTGTGGACTTCCATACGTCGCTGTGCAGGCACTTCATAACATAAGTCAGATAGCCTGACTGCGTCACAAAGTTCTCCCCTGATATCTAGCTCAGAAAAGTTAGTCTATGCTGCTGTTGGCGCCTGACCTAGAAGTGCGTTACGTGAGAATACCGGAAAGCCTTGGTTCAACAACTATCTCTCCTATCCCACCCACTATGAAACTGGTTAGATAGTGTTTTATGTCCAAGGATGGACTAGCCGATCAGAAGATAGTTACGTGGCTACTAGCACTGTTAACGCCCCAGGATGGATTGACACAACACCACGACTGCACACAAACTTGAGATAACCTAGAAATGTCCCTATCATGTTCATGTGGACTCAGTGGAACTTCTTACGGAGTAAAACGTGCCCACTCACGCACCGAAATTAACCGTTTCACAAAATGTGTTGCCGCGCACTTCATTGGTGACGTTTCTGCTGAAAATACAGCTGCAGTTCCCCTCGGTTGTTGGACCGCGAACTCCGGCTTCATGCATTTACCAATCTGGACAGAGTGGACAGGGGTCCAACCTTTTATCACTTACTGAAAAACTAACTCAGCCCATGTCACAATTCTAGCCTACACCGCGTCACATGAACACTCATCGAGCGAAGCAGCTGGGGAAACTTCTTGTGCTTCGCAAGTCTGTTTCCATTCGAGTTGACGATGTTAGAAGGGGCTTGTGACCGTCATATAAGACGTCATTTGTAGTCAGTCACGGTGACAAACACTTCACCCTGAAAATTAAAAGGGTGACAGGAGGAATTAACTCCTTCCAAAGTGTCGTTTGCAGAAGGCGAAGGAGGGGCTAACTCAGCACCGCTTGACGCAAAAGCTTCTTTTGATAGGGCACCCTCGTGGACTTCACACAACACCTGTTCTTGCGATTCTTCCCTGTGCCACAAGTAACGGATAGCTAATAACTAAACCCGATTGTTTTGCATACTTCACCGCAGAATTCTTTCCCATTTTTTGTTTTGAGCATTTTGTCTACTTATGTTGAATATACCAATGGGCGTGTATCATACGTTTTTCTTCTCACTGCTCACTGTATGTACATATATATATGTATATATTGCCTTTTGTTTTTGTGCTTTATCCGTTAAGAAAAGCAGCGTCGCCCCATCACGTACTGACTCGTTTGGTTTTATTGTGCCTCAAATGTCCGTCTGAAGTAGTTCCTCTGGACGTCTGTGAGAGTTATTCAAATGCAGACCATGTGGGGACCTTCTTTAAAGGATCTTTAGACAGAAAGTTACATCTCTTCTTGTCACCTCCTGTATATTGTGCAATTTCTTAAACATGCAAAGCAAACGGTTGTATACTCGCGGTGTTCAGTTTTCTTTGAGTGTAACTGTTGTGACTTGGGTTTCGTTTACATGGAAACATAATTTGACCCACCCCCCTTATTCCTGGTTTCGTTCCTGTCCAAGATCGATACTAATAGACCGCCTCCAGAAAACGTTTACAGGAAACTCACCTCCCCCTTCCATACGAGTAAGAAATCCATTCTTTAGCAGTATCCCTCACGTCCATCATCATAGTATCCTTCGATCCTCCAAATCTTGCTGCGAAGACCAAGTTTGTGGGGAAGTGAGCACAATAACACTGTAACCAAGTCACACTATTTTGAATGCATCCAGTGAACTTACACACTTTCCGCTTATGCATCCACTTCTGTGAGCATTTTTGTTACCTTTTGAATTGCTGTTAGTGGTAATGTATAGCAGGCTTGATTTTTCCGTCGTAACGTGCAAGAGTCATGCCAGAGGAGTAAAAGTTTATGATAACCAAGCTTCATCAACTAAGCCATTAACCCAAAGCGTAATTTAGTACCATTCTGCGGGATGAAACGAATTCTGTGAAAGCTGTAAGCTGGGTTGGCTCGGGAGTCAGTTTCAAATACCGACCACAATAATAATACATTTCTAATGATGAATTATAGGAACACAAGCAATCTTTAGAGGCAACATCCAAATGTTATTTCCTCATTGAAGCCTTAAACATTTAGAAAGAAGCAAATCATCATGCCACACAAGGTCTGTGGGAGCAAACAATTGTTTAGGTATTGCTGGCCACAAATACTGGACGAAAGGGATATCGTTGAACTGCTCTAGCGAAAATTAATGTGGGTATAATTATCCAGTATGAGAAGTATTGTGGCAACAGTGAGTCACGTAGTCTGTAAGAGTTTACTGCATATCGAATGTTGGGAACAGGCGAACCTGAAGATATATCGGCATTCAGTAAATTTGTACTGTCTAAAGATGGCAAGTGAAACTGGAGTCAAACACTAGCATGGATGGCGGGAAAAAATCTGGATCTGGTATTGTTTGGTGTCACGCTGAGTGTAGCAATTGTTTGGGTTTATAATGTTGCAAACAGGGTCATTTTAACACATTGAGCCAGAAATACAATTCTTCCCGGCTACCGTTGTCATGTTATGGTCGGGAATATATGAGGTTTCACCATCAAAGCATTCAATAAGGTATGAAAGTCAGCGCGTCATAGGAAATCACTTTCGGTTAGCTCTGTTTTCAAGTGAGTGTTTATCGGGAATGAGGGAACTTGCATGTTTGGATGCAAGCAGCATTTATAACCAACATTTCTACATGCTCTCCCGGTTGGGGTCATGAATTTAGGAGAGGTTGTAGTCTGGGATGAAGTGTCTAGCTCCTGGTGATTTTGTATCTATAGGTGGTAAAAGATGATAATCCTGACGTGCTGAGTAGAAGTTCAGGGTATACCTCGATGATTATTGTGCGTTGGCGTGATCCGTCATCATGATCTGCATATCGGGCCAGAAGAGGAAACAGAGAGGCATGAGAAGTGGAGTTAGTCATTTTAGATTGTGGGGAAGCAATATTGAGGACTGGAGTATCTAGAGAGGATGCGTGGAACATAAAGCTATGTAGTTTTATATTTCATCTATAGAATACCTTTGAAGTCTTATGTAGTGCATTTCGCACGCCCTAGCTTAAGCTGCATTACAAACGCTTAAGAACACATTGAAGTATGCAGAAATATAAGTGAAGTAAATTCTGTTTTCCTCACACAGTTAGGGAAGTCACATGAAGCAAAGGAATGGGAAAGTCGGTTTCAGTTCTGCACTTCTGCATACAAGTTGCCTTTGGAATAACTGGGTGAATTTACCTCTTGGATTTAATTACCTTTCTGCACTTTTGCTTCCAAAATTTTGGCCCAAGAAATTTAACTCACATGTTGTAGAGGAGGTTGCATGAGTAGTTGTTTAGAGGGAGTCAGTTAGCAGGTTGGTCTGTTTCGAGGCTCTCCAGTAAATTGGGAGGCATCAGGGGCGGGCAGTCGTGTGCTTCTTTCGACAGTTCCCAAAATCATGCGTCAAGCATTGTTTCCGGCAGGCTTATATATTCGTTTTGGAGAAGAGCGAGCCTAAGACAATCGTTAAGTCGGTGCTGTCTATTTTAATGCATCATAAAGCATCCGTATAGCCACAGGAAGGAAAAGAATATGCGGATTACAGTTGCTCCTACTCTTCAAGAGTAACAGCTGAGTCTAGTGCGGATTTATCGCTTTAAGATCGGTTGTTGTAGTGCAGCGAAACACAAGTTGGTAGAACTACTGCTAAAATGGTCACAGGTGTCAAATAAACTTCGGGTCTATTTCATATTCGGCCATGCGTCACAATCCATGGAGCATGATTGCCATATGATAACCGCTCCGACCGTTTATTAGAGGGACAGCTCCACATTGAGACATTTTAGGGACGTCAGTTAACGGTTGAGTTCATTCCGAAAATATTCAGGAAGCCGTGAAAGG